TTTTCCCTCTGACCTGACTACCGACCGCTGCGGTGCTTTTGTAAAGATTAGTAGGGTCATTACCTATACTTGACCTCTGTGGACTTGTTCTCACCCTCCTCTGTATATATATAACTTGTTCTGCACTTCTATTTTAGTCTGTACTCACCCCTGAGGCTTGTTTTGTCAGTATATGGCATAAGACAAGAGATAAGGAACAAAAGGAATATGTTCTTATGTTCTTATGAAACAAGAATGAAGCTTAATAGAGACGGAAAGGAAGGAACAAATATATAAAATACAGAAATTTGGGGAAATATATAGTATGATAAGTTATTTAAGTATAACAATAATGCCAAGATGTACGATATGCTTGTATCTTATATGTAATGAATGTTTAAAATAAAACCACGAACATATCAAAATATATTCAAATAAAAATAAACCAATTAAGTTAGATATAATCAATATTAGTATAGACATAATTAAATTAAACTTATATTAGATTTATTATATTGTGACGGTTAATTTATATTAAGGGAAAAATATAAATAATTTTATTTGATAGTCGCTTCTGGCAACATTGTGTTACTGACGTCAGCATCACAACAAAGCTTCTGCCTACAGTATACAACTGAGACGCCCCATAAAGATTACTGTGAGTATAATAATTCCTCAATGTAGGACTAACAACCTTAAATATACATAAACCTTAAACCTTATACTCTGGAAGAGGCTGTGACTCCGGCTCAATAGCCTCTTCTCTACTGGCTGCGTGTGGCTGATATTTGTGTCCTATAATTATATACTTGTTCTTGATTATTCCAGTATTTATCTAATTTTGCTTCAAACTTCACTACCCACTCAGGTAAGCCATTAACAACCTTGTGAGATTTAGCCTTGCTCTTGTGTTGCCCCGGGTAGTGCCAGCCACACTGTGTCCATGGGGTCTTCTGTACGCCAGTGTCGGTAACTGTAATTTCCTTAGTCTTTCCTCATAAGGTAAATCCTTGATATGTGGTACTAATTTGGTAGCCCTCCTCTGTACATTCTCTACTGCTTCAATATCCTTAATGAGATATGGGCACCAAATTTGATTAGCATACTCAAGGTGTGGCCTAACCAGAGCAGTGTACAGAGCCTTGAATACAGGTGCATCCAGGTGAACAAAAGTTCTTCTAATAATGCCCACTATTTTATTAGCCTTGATGATTTTCTCAGCTAGATGGTCAGAGAACGTCAGCTTATCATCGATGACTACCCCTATATCCTTCTCTACAGTGGTCATCTTGATCGTGGTGTACATATGATATCCCTGGTCAGCAACTTTTGTTCTTCCTATCCTCATGTATTTACTTTTTTCTGGATGAAAGTTCAGCATCCACTTCTCAGTCCAACTCCTGATCCCATCCAGGTCCTCTTGCAGCATGTCACAATCCTCATCTCGTTCTATTTTCCTAAAAATCTTTGTGTAGTCCGCATATAGATATACCTCACTGTCGTGTGTAATTGCCTCAGGCAGGTCATTGATGAAAGGGACAAACAGCAGGGGGCCGAGGACAGAACCCTGAGGGACCCCACTAGTGACCTCTCTCCAGTCAGATACTTCTCCATTTACCACAACTCTCTGTTTTCTCTTAGTTAAAAAATTCCTTACCCAATCAAGATATTTTCCATCAATGCAATAACTAGATACTTTTTCTAATAGTCTTTTGTGGGGTACTCTATCAAAAGCTTTCATGAAGTCACAATACACTATGTCCACAGCCTGAATGTCATCGATAATTTCCGTTCACCTGTCTAGTACCCTAATCAACTGTAGGACTGTTGACCTGCTGGAAATGAAGCCAAACTGTTTATTACTAAACAATCCATATTTTTTCAAATGGGATATCATCTCTTCCCGTGATATTGGCTCCAATAATTTACAGATTACACTAGTTAGACTGACTGGCCTGTAGTTTCCTGGTTCACTTTTACTTCCCTTCTTATAGATAGCTGTGATATATGCAATACGCCAGTCCTCGGGTATATTTCCTTCTTGAAAAGAGCTTTCTAAGAAGATCCTCAGAGGCTGAAGTAGTTCCTCCATCATCTCCTTAATGACTCTTGGATGTAACCCATCTGGACTGGGAGACTTCTGTCTTTTCAATTTTTGAATCACCTTTCTTATTTTGCCCTCGGTTATCTCCAGGTGTTGAAAAGCTGGCACGTCTTTCTTGTTGGCTGTTGGTATCCCCCTATCTGGTTCCTTGATTAAAACTTGTGACAATTGCTCTGAGAGTACATCTGCCTTTTCTTGATCATTCACAGTCTTCTGTACTTTTTTCTCATCCTTGTAAAGATCTGCAATTCTAGCTTTTGTTCTTGTTTCTGTCTGTACATACTTCCAGAACACTTTTGGATTTGCCTTCTTTTCTTTTACTTTTATCCTCTTCGCTACTGATCGGCTTGTTAGCCGCTTGGGCGATCGGTCACGTCTCTGATTACTTTTCCTTTTCATTTATCTTCTTCACCAAAAGGTCGGCTCGCTAGCCGCCCGGGCGATCGGTCACGTCTCTGTCACGCACTGTTGGCAAATACTGGGCATGCACCGGCTCCTAAATGTACCTGAACCCGCTCCAGTGTTGGTCAAGTCTTGTCTTGAAAGAGCTCACACTCGGTGCCATCACAACACTCTCTGGTAGATTGTTCCAAGAGTTACTGTGGAGTTTCAATATTTCATGGGTTAAATACCAGAAGGCATTGTGAATTGTCAAATCACGAATTATATTTTAATTGATTTAAATGGAAATAATTAGTTTGATTCCAGTAGCCAAGAAACACTGAAATACCCATAAACTTTTCCAAAACTGCTTTAATAAACACTAAACATCATACATAATACATTAAAAAATGCAGTAACTTCCAAGCCTTTTCAAGTCTCCAACTACAACCTTTATACCTCTTTCCGTTCTAAGGTAGGTGTATGGGCCTACTGCAACACACGTACACCTTTAGCTCGACTCACGGATCTTGAATCTTCTCTTTATGATGTCATCTGGCTCTAAATATCTCTTACCAACCATGACTATTTTTCTTTGTTTCCTATACTGTTCTCCCAACTCTACCAACTATTTAGAACTTTGACTATCTCACTTCTTGCCATGAGTCGTTGCTATCCACACTCCCCAACACCGAAATCCTCTACCTAGGGGATTTCAATGTACATCACAGAGAGTTGCTTGGCTCTGCAAGGGATGACCCAGGTGGAGCTGAGGCTCTCTCTTTTTCCTTACTTAATAATCTGGAACAAATAATTAAACACCATACACGTGTTCCTGATTGACACGATCAACTTACTAACATTCTTGATATTTGTTTTACCCCTCTCACTATTCATGCTCAATTTCTGCTCCCTTAGGGTCTTCTCATCACAATCTTATTTCTATTAAATCAGACTAGGTACGACCACATCCCCCACCCCCCTCTAAATGCCAACTATGGCACGATCAGAGGGCAATCTGGCAACCCTTGCGAGAATTCTTCTCTGACTTTCCTTGGGATGAATGTTGCTTTTCCACTCGGGACGCTTTGGTATGTGCTGACAGTATCACTGGGGTTATACAGGGTGGTGTGAGTGCATTTATCCCATCTTCTGCCAAAACTTCACCTTCTCACAATGGCCCAAGAACTGTTTCTTCATCCAGTTGGGACTTGTGATATGCCTCCTTACTGTTGGTATGATCTAGGTGCATGCTCTTACACTTTGTGGTATTGAATCTTAACAGCCATTTCTTCGACCACTCAAAGCTGACAGAGACTTTCTGTAGTTTGTCAGATATGTTTTAGATTATAAATCATAGAATGATGTATTTATTCTCTATCGTCCGTACAGCATGGAAAACACACAACAGCTAGACGATCACATGTTTTTGTTGTACTGTATTGGGGCAGGTTAGGTTAGGTTAGGTTTGGATAGTTTAGTCAGAAAGAAGGTCATCTTGGTAACTATCATTGTGTAGTCTGCCCGCCACGCATGCGCATTAGGCTGCTGTACCAATTGACATCGAGGTTAAGCATACGGCTGCCCAATTATTATGGTCACGACACTACAAAGGGAGATTTCAGCAGTGCAGTACGACAGTATCCTCGCCAGCCCTGGCAGCAACTATGTCAGCTGAGACACGAGAGAAACCTTTCACTAAGGCACCAGTTGATTCTACCTGTCTGGGCAGTTTATTGTGAAGGTGGTGTGATGGAAGTGATAAAGGATTATTTCTCCGCTGTTGCACCATACAAGATCAAGTCGATGGAGTTAAGGTTTGTTGGAAGGCGCACTCGAGACGTATCTTGTCTGTATCTCAGAATGGTGAAAGATTTTTCACGTAAGAATGATGATACTGTAGTGAGTTACAATAGCTCATGTGGACAAGGGAGTGTGGAGGGCTAATGTGTGCTCACAAGGTACGCCCACTCCAGGTGATTGGCAACAGGTTGTGAGGCGGAGGAACGACGATCACCATTTGCATCTATAAATGTTTACCCACAAGAGAATAATAGACGGAAAACAATGTTGCTGATACGCATACGACACGATCTCTAACGACATTAATATTAAATTGGTTAACTCCTGTGTTGGCACTGTGTCGTCATAGTGGGACTGACTGTATGTATGTGGTTGTGTTGGCTAGTAAGTGGTAGCATTGACTAGCTATGTGGTAATATGAGGTAGTATTAACTGGCTATGTGGTAATATGAGGTAGTGGTTAGTATGTGGGAGTATTGACTAGGTATGTGGTAGTATTGGCTAGCTTTATGGTAATAGGTAGTATTTGCTAGCAATGTGGTAATATGAGGTAGTATTGACTAGCTATGTGGTTAGCACATGTATTGAATTAGTATTTGTTATAAGAAGTACCATTTTTGTCATTTTCACAATTGACTTTCTGATATGACCAAAATGTAAGGTGATATTAACATGGAGGGGGGTGGGGGGTCAAGGAAGCAACAAGTATGAGAGAGAGCGAGTGTTGACTAGTGATGAGGCTATTTGTTGGCAGTGGGAAGGTCTTTAGAATGTTAAACCATTTCTTAACTAGGGCTCTACACATCACTTGGTGCCTTTATTTATTTGTTTTACAATGAGTCTATTCATTACTTAGTGGTGATACCTCCTTCATTGTTGTAAAGTGATGGCTTGTGTATTGAACATAACACAGTACAGTACTTGTGTATAGTTAAGTTAGGTAAGTGATTGTTTGTACTGTATTACACTACAGTACTGTATATGATCCTCACTTTATACTGGAACGTTTGAGTTTTACAAATAAAATATATATCATATTACAATTATCTTCACTCAGCATCAAACACACACATTCTTTCTTACTTACTTCTAGTATCTTTTGTTTTTATAGCTATAACTTATTGGAAATTGGTATAGAGAGGACGGGGAGGGGGGTAAAGAAACTATTATAACAGCCAAACTACTGTATGTCTACAATAGTTTAGTTTAGGTAAGTGATTATGTTCTTTATCGACCCTGTACTTAGAAGTAACCCCCCCCCCCAAAATGCAATTACAGTATGGGGTAAACGTGATGTTGGCTCGCACTAGGATGGAGGTGAGAAGGGAAACTCAGCTATGGCGTTTTCTGTATACATATACAGTGCAGTACTAGGGAGTTGCTGTGTGGTGAGGAGCTTGATGAGAGGAGGTCTTGTCTGTTTGAGAGCGTTCAGTAGAATCCTTTTCACGGCGAGGCTGTGAGCTTATATACACGTCCACTGGAAGTAAGCGTCGCTGGTGGCCGACCCCCTGCGAGGCTAGACGGCTAGGCTTGTCAGAGAAACATCGCCGTGGGATCGGCTGATCGGTGACTAATGGCAGTGGCAGTTGTAGGGGAGAGTATCCACTACAACAGCATTGTATACAGTATACTGTATAATTCTGATGATCATAATTACTTCACCATTATTCCCCCTTCCCAAAATCTCCCGGAGGTTTTCTGTAATAAGAAATACCCAAGCACTTTCTTTACCTCGTGTGTGTGTGTGTAAAATAATTAACATAATAATAATTAACAGTTTATTGAAAAAGCTCTGCAGCCCGAAGGCTGAAAAATTACATTGAACATAAATGACTTATAACGTACAAAGACATGGGGGAGTTAACAAAAGCCTTCATTAGAGAAAGGAAAAGGAACATACAGTGAACATACAAATTAATGTTTACAGTTGAGGTCATGTGTGTACATGTCACCATCCATCCAGCTTAATGGTACTACTCTCTATATCTATAATGTTACCCACTTTCAGTATCTCGGCCCTCACCTGTCCACCACCGCGGATATCGATGAAAAGATTCAACATCGAATCACATGTGCATCTCAAGCCTTTGGCAGGCTCCGTACCCGTGTCTTCAGCTGTAGGGAGCTGAAATGATCTACAAAGCTGCATGTATATCGAGCAGTGGTCCTCCCCGCCCTGCTATATGGCAGTGAGACATGGGTCACATTCAGGAGGCACCTCAAGGCACTTGAAAGCTTTCACCAAAGTAGTCTACGTTCTATCCACAGAGTTTGCTGGGAAGACAAGAGAACAAATGCCAGCATTCATGAACAACTACATAGGACTGGCCATGCTACCAACATGGATGACAGTAGACTGCCAAAACAGTTACTTTACAGTCATCTAACGAATAGTAAACGTAACGCCAGTGGGTAACTGAAAAGGTATAAGGATAGTCTTAAAACAAACCTGAAAAAGTGCCAAATTGACCCCCTCACCTGGGAGACGATTACCTCACACCATAACGCTTGGAGGAACACCACATGAGAAGGTGTCAATACAGTACTTTGAGTTAGCACGACTGCAAACAGAAGCAGTCAAGCACCAACGCTGGAAAGATATTGCCACTGCCCCTCCCGCACTAGATGTAGTCCCTAACATGTGCAACATCTGTAAACCACCCTGCCAGTCCCGTATCGGCCTCTTTCGTCACCTCAGAACTCGCCAACGAAGGTGACATCCCTAACAACTCATATCACTGTATCATAGCTGGATGATCGTCATACTCGATTCCGAGTGACAGCAAAGTAGTAATAGTAGGGTGGGTGGGGGTGTAGCATGAGGGGAAAGCTTTTGAAGAGTGAACGAAAATGTATGAAGATCATCAACATGAGCGTTAATCTTATTGTTTTTATGTAGAACATATAGTAAGTTTTAGGTAATGAATGACATGTTTACTGTTGCAGGTTGTGATGCGTGGTGAGAGTGGTGAAGCCTTTGTGGGTGGTGGTGGTGGTGTGGGTGTAGCGAGCGATGAGGTGGCCAGTGGCCACACGTGACGGCAGGGAGCCGAAGGACTACACAACAGAGACGGGTAAATGTACCGTATAGCCGTTGATTCATATCCCAAGGTTTACACCGAGACTTCCCAAGCTTCATCATAAAAGGTCCTTTACATTGGTCACAGATAATTTTTCTTAGGCCAGGTGTAAAGAGAGAACATGAGAGTACTGCAGTAGTTAATGTGTTATTAAGTCGGGACTATAGATTATGATCAGGGATTAACTCTGTCACTCTTATTAGGTCAGGTAAGGTTGTGGGAAAATGGGCAGGCCATGTGAAATCTGATTAGGTTTGGTATATTTGCATGAGGCAACTGACCCAAGACTTGACTTGACAAGTTAGTCCCATACTGTTGCCTTGTAATAGAGCCTAAGGTGGGGCTAAATTTTTCTCCAAATGGCAGAATTTCAGACCAACAGTGAGACGAGGGTGAATTTTAAAGTCTTTTGACTACATCACAAAGTGTTTGATGAGCTTATCAAAGAGGCCGTGGTTAAAATAGAGCTCTCATGGTGCTTGTACAACCTTTGCCTGTGAGGCATAATTTTCCTCAATGATGTATATATACAAGATATAATTATCAATGTTAGTACAGTACTGCCAGATCTGGGGTCACTAATTCTAAGGAGAAATACTTAACTCTAGTCTTAATTTCTAAGGGTCGCTGCAACCAGACCCCTCTGGACACTATGTAGCTCGTCAGGTAGCGTGCAGAGTGGACCAAGCATTGGGTTAGGTTTTTCATTGACCAAATCGATAAGGGGAAAGAAGGGTGAAACCATAACATGTCTTAACTAATTTATTCCTGATAAAATATATGGTAACAAAAAATACAATTGAGCTGGCCTTCCTCAGAAGAACAACGATGATTTTCGTTACCCTGCTTACAATATCACTCAACACTTCGGACTGCTCCACCTGTATGGAATATAGCACCTTAGGTCATCATACATAGTAACACCATCTCACCTCCCTGTAGCAACATCTCAACACACCTGTGACACTCCACACCTGCAAGCATGGGACTCCTTGTAATTTCTAGGTATACATATCAGGCACCTCGTTTGCACACCGCCCTCGGTGGGTAGAGACGAGGGCTACACCAAGAGACATACCAGTACTATTTCTACTCCTGGTATTATAGGTCGCTCCAAGTGACGACCGCGGAGTTTCTCACACGTTTCCTTATTTGTTCCTACTCATTTGGAGTGGTGTACTGGGAATCCACAGGTTCACAGTGGATTGGCATAGCTGGGAGTAGTCACCACCTGGTGGGACGCTCACAGGGATAATGGCCGCCACCCAGCAAGGCACTCCGACCGCATGGGACCTGAGGTGAGGATAGAATGTAGGACACTGAGAAATAATGCCTGATGGGCGGTTATCCCACACCCTAACACATTACTATTTCACTTATGCATCAGGCAAAGCTTTAAACTGTAATAACTGCTATATAAGCCTTTTTTACAGGGCGGGATGTAGCCCGATAGAGGACACAGACCTGAGGGCACAGTAGAATGGAGGACACTGAGGGCAGTGCCCCGCCACTCATCACCGCGTAGGCCTACAGTTTCCAATCTTTAATTTTTACTTTTATTTCTTACGGTTCTCACATGAACACCTTCCTGTATATTGTAACCTCATGCCTTATAAACACATATTTTAATCCTAAATTACACACTAAGGTAAGGTTCTGGTTTGCTAGTTCGTGGGTAAATTCATTGGGTTATAATATCAACGCAGCACACTTGAGGCGGGTACAAAGGACGCTACCTTGAAACAAAAGCCGAATGTTCATGGCGTGGGTACATCCATTTCACTTAAAACTGTAATTAGGGATCCTCCTCTTACACATTGCACTATTTGAACACAGACATAAGATTCTCTGATCACTATACATGTATTAAGTTCACACCGATGTATACAAGATATTTCCTTTCAGGTATAGTTTCTGGGTCACTTCCAACACCTCACATAGTTCTGATACATTTATCCTTTTTCCATATCATTGTTCTCATGTATTTTCATATGATATTTGTGGAAGTTATGTTCGCTACACGTTCACAGACGTAAATAGTATGACCTTCAAACCATGATCCACACCTAGTCCTACAGTACACTAGTCCGGTTCAATTGGACTTTTCCAATCATCTTATGGATACCCTGAGTTCTCCTTAATGCTATGAATACATACAATTAATATTCTATAACTGTACCTGGGTACAATACAACACATGATTCAGCAACATTGAGTAGGTGAGTTATCCTTTATCAATGTTTCCCGTTCTCTGAGATTCTACAAGCGCGGTGGATTTGAATGTTTTGTAGCGTAATATGAATTAAAGTTTATTTTTTGGAATGACAATGATGTGCGCAGTACAATGAGTGTGACCCTCTCCCTCACTGACACCCACTCAGAAGACACCTTAGTTGCAGCCTCTCATTGGTAGCTTCTCAGTTGCTGATATTCCTTCTTATTAATGGTAATCATATTTTGTGTAGCTACTTAGCTACTATACAGTATTTGTATGAGAACATTCTGTGTCTCCTGTTATTATGTACATACTGTAAATATTTTCATCCCTAATAATTTTAACTATCACTTTTTGTTGCAGTCTACTGTACATCTTTGCTGTTAATATTGAATATTATTTCATTTTCGTTGAGCTTGTACTTAGGTAATGTAAATGTAGGCGGGTAGTGTTTGATTATCTTGGGGAGTTGTGACCATACCTTACCAGCTGTTCCCACCATGTGGGTTGGCATTAGGGAGAGAAGCCATCCATAAAACATTGCTGTAACATGTCTAATGGGTCACCAGAGCTGTACCCATCCCCTGGTCTCTGCCATATTTTATGGGCTGGTGCCCTGGATGTGTGGTGGTGAGTGGGTTGGGGGGGGGGAGGGGGACAGTGTCTTGATTTTGCCCAACAGCTCCCATCGGGTAATCACGGCTAACCCACACAAGTGTGGAAACCATCCATAAAAAAATGATGATGAATTATCCATCAGTAGTTCCTTTATAATCCTGGATCTTTACTACACTGGTGGTACAACCTGGCCAGGTTATATCATGTAACACAAGCTGCAATATCAGCGTTGGTTTTTCAGTGGAATTCACAACCAGTCCTCTCGCCTTGAAGACTGACAGACTGAAATGTAATGGAGTGTGTTTTGTGGAGTTTAGAGGAGGTGATGGAAGGTCTTCAGTCAGCAACTTACTTACTTACTCCAACATATAAACCAGGTGTGTTAGTGTCTTCTGTATCATAATAATCATGAGTATAGTACATCAGAGGCTGATAGAGATATATGGTACAGTGCCAATAGTATAGTTTTCTCTTATATTTAACATGCTATAGCTACCAAAGTATAGAACGACTTCACCCAAATGAAATTTAAGTAGATTTTTTTTCTTTTGTGACTTGATAGAAATCGTTAATTAGACAAAGCATAAATGATTACATCAGTCAGTTCTCTCATCCTTCAGTTTCAATTAAGTATTTGAACAGATAAAAAGATAATAAAGCATTTGTGTGGCTGGTGTTGCTGGGGGGGGGGGGGCTAGCTACACAACTAAAGCTGCATAGTTGGGGAGTTGGGTAAACTATGGGTCACACTACAGTACAGTACTCTACTGACACAGGCTGAAAAGTGTAATACAGTTGCTCCTCTACTGATGAACGAGTTACGTTCTTGAGGCTTGTTTGTAAGTCCAACTTTACTCCCGTAGATACCAAACATATTGTAAAAAATTAAAAGATTATGTATATTTAGTAGAGCTATACCCTTTAATACAGCCTTAAAACCTGGCTCACTCTTCTCCTCTTAGGTAATGTTTGTTTCACCTGGAATTTTCTTCAGAATAATCCAGTCTCATCCACATTAAACACCTGTTGTGGCAGGTAACCCCCTTCAGTGATGATGTTTGTATCTCTGAAAGTTTGTAAGTTGAACATTCTTAAGTAGAGGAGCACCTGTACTGTAGGTGTAGGGGAGAGTCACTGGATAATGATAAAGATTTCAGCTGTTTGGAAGTGATGATTGTTTAGAATAGTGTGATGGAAAGTGAAACTAGGCTGAGAACAATGGATGAATGGGAAGTATCATTAAAGTAGAAAATGTAAACCTGGTCTTGGGATGGAGCAGAATGTTCTTCACTTCAAGCCACATAGAGTAGATGAGTTATATGAAGTTACCAGAATGGAAGGGGTAAGAAATGTTGAAGCATTTGGAATGGTTGAGAAAGCAAAGGGTGTAAATTGTGCAGTTGTGGAATGGGTTGACTGAGATGGTATGGACTAGTGAGAAGGATCCAAGAGTAAAGATGGTATGGCAGGTGTGTTGGGTAAATGGAGAATGTCTACACCATAGTTGAGAAAGGTGAAACAATATATTAAGGGGAAGGGATAAGGAAGATGTGCTGGGATAGGGCAGCCTGAAGGCTTTTTTGTAAGTTAGCCAGGAACTCTTTGAGGTGGTGAGACATCATTGATAAGAGGAATGCACAGCATACCCAAATTATTGTAAAGATACAGTGTACAAGACACCAAAGTTAAAAAGATATAAAGATATACAGTTGAGTCTGGTTTTACGGGGTTTTGGTTAACGCGTTTGGTCATTTACACGGTGCCTTGCCAGAATGAAATGCTTTAATTACGCGGTAAATTTGGTCATTTACGCGGGAAGCAGCGCAGGCAGGGTGCGCACAAGGTCGCCCAGTCATCAAAACATTACCCAGTTTTTCACCCGCCACCCACCACAGCCGGCCCAAGTCATTGATAGTGATAATTATGGTGAGGATATGGACTTATATGGACTTTGGGGAGTTTGACAAAGAGGCCCTGCAAGCCTCTGTGGTGGATAGTGATACAATTGATACAAGTGATACAGGTGAGGGCCAATAATCTGCCCTCTGCCTCGGAACCAACCGCCTATCCCCGTGTGCCCAGCCATCTTTTCTATTAATGTAAGTGTTAGAAAACCTAATATTATTGATATTTCTCTTAATTATTAATTGTTTGTGCATACCATCATAAAGTTAAGATAATATTTTTACTACAACATAGTTGTGTGTCGTCAAAAAGTGGAGTTGGGGGTCGGCCCAGACTCTATTTCAATTAATCCCATATGTTATGATATTCACTTTACGCGTTCCTCACTTTCCACGGCACCCTGTGGGTTACATTAACCTCGTAAAGTGAGGATTGACTGTAATAGTTGTGAGGACATTTTGGACAAGGTAAGAGACTTGCTGTGTGTTGGTCTGCTGGCAGGAGCAACAGGTAGGCACGGCTTATAGCACTATTTTACCCTCACTTATATATCAAATTATTGTATGGCAATAATTATTATTCAATATATTTATGAATGGTTTTACTGTATAAATTTGTTTCAATTTGACTAACAAATTATAAATATAATATAATATTTTGAAGGGTTCTAAAATAAAACAAAGTTCTTCTGGCCCCAGAATATACTACATATTATTTTATTGATAACTTTAAACTATTGTAACACAATCGACCAAGTAGAGATAGGAACACGTAAAATTAATGATAAGGAAGATAGAACATGATTAAATAATAAATCTATTTATTAAGAAAACCAACAGCTCAACGTTTAACAGTTATGATACAGTTTAGGTATCAGGTATAGACTAAAAAATGTTTATCTAACCTAACCCAATTCAACCTACATCATTATATGTCAATAAGAGAAGTGGGACATCTTGGAGTATCAGAAGATAATAATGGAGATAATGATTAAGCATTTAACATTTAAGTTATTATGTAATGACTAGTGTAATAATGCCCACAGCCATCCTGTCCATAATCCCATTAAAATCGTAGTAAAATCATAGACGTTCTCCGCAGCTAACGGTCAAATACCCTTTGGATATTTGCCCAGCCAGCACAGTCAAATAACACCTTCATAACTTGTACTGAGCCACTATTGGGTAGTGGTGGTGGAGTCACTTAGTACCAGAGTACTGTGTTTATATTTGATTCATATTATCCACTAATAATGTCATATATGGCAGAGTCGTTAATAAATAATCTTGGCCCTCTTGATCGTTGAACAGGCCCCCCCACTCGGCTATAAATCTGACAATGGGTCTTGCAGATAATTTACGATTTGATAAACAGCAACGCCAACAAGAAGTCATAACTAGGGAGGGAAAATAAAATATAAGAACATAAGTTTCACTCATTAACCAATACTACTCAAAAGAAATTGGAAATGTATTTAAACTCATTATGGGATTTGATTCCAATAATATAATTCTCATAATTTATAATGTGCATAGAATAGGTTTAAGATCCTACTTAACCAAACGAAAAAATAAATAAGGGATTTGTGGAGATAATAGACTCATGAATCTGGATAGTAAAGCCTAAAAGAAAAAAACACAATCAATTTTATATACCGGTATATGGTAATAAAACCACCAATGTGAGGCTCTGTCATTTATTGACAAGTTAAGTACAGTATTACCGGAGTCAGTGTTTATTGGTTTAAGAGCGGACAACAACACAGGCTGCCACGTCATATTTTTTGGTAGATTGTTTACAGTAAATAGTTAATTTCTCTGTGTCAAAGAGCGTGGAGACATCATTTTAGTGTCACATGATCAGTTCTTCACCGTGTTTTACCCCGTACTCTCCGTCATCTTCCATGTCCTGCCCATTACAGGTGATTTATGTTCATAGAGAAGAGATAAAAAAATACTGGTATTTATAATTAAAATAAAAAGTTGTGTTAATTTTTATTAGTTAATATGATATTATGTCATTTGTTGCCACCCAAAATTTTTTGATAATTTTATGGTTGCAATCAGTAGTTTTGATCATTCTAAAACACTTTTCTTCTATGGCATTTCTGTCACAAATTAAGTTCTGTATAAGTGAGATATTTTACATTTTAGTTGCTGGTTTGTTAACCAATCAGATCTTGGCATAGTCCATCTGTTAGGCTAGTATGGTTTAGATTAGGTTATATATTCTATACTGGTGCAATCAATACAGTATACTTATATACTAATGCAAATTAATTACATACACTGTACACTCTTGTCCTATATGTAAATAGGAAATGTCAAATTTTCCCCTAAAATCAAAACTTTTTAATTTCTAAATTTGTACCAAAAAATTGCAAACAATAGAATCAAATCTATATAACATTTTACATCCATCAAGCATAATTTCAACTTCCAAATGCTTGGTGGTAACAAGTGAAATTTTACCATTAATACTACATCATCCACAGAACAACTGTGGATAATATGAATCAAATATAAACACAGTACTGTGGTACTAAGGGACTCCACCACCACAAGTTATGAAGGTGTTATTTGACTGTGCTGGCTGGCCAAATATCCAAAGGGTATTTGACCGTTAGCTGCGGAGATTGTCTATGATTTTAATGGGATTGTGGACAGTGGGCATTATTACACTGCTTAATCATTATCTCCCTTGTGATACTCCACTTCTCTTATGGACATATAATTGGGTTAGGTTAGATAAACATTTTTTAGTCTATACCTAAACTGTTAAACGTTGGTTAATTTAATCATGTTCTATCTTCCTTTACGTGTTACAATAATATGGGGCCACAACAACCTTAGAGATATTATATTATATTAATAATTGATACAGTAAAACCATTGGTAAATAATAATTATTGACATGATATATAAGTGAGGGTAAAATAGTGCTATAAGCCGTGCCTACACAGCAAGTCTCTCACAACTATTATAAGGCTCTCTCTCACCCCTGCACACTTATCATTCACACTAAAACACAAATGAGTCCTCACAACACAATATTACACCAACACAAACCAATTTTCTTCACAATATTTTTCGATGCTGTGTTTGCATGGAGGAGGGCATGGCACACCACACCCTTCTTCCCAACCACACACTCTTCCTCCCATCCACACCCTCTTCCTCCCATCCACACCCTCTTCCTCCCATGCACATCCTCTTCCTCCCATCCACATCCTCCCATCCACAAACACTACCTCCCATCCACACACCCAAAAGGTTGGGTGGATGGGAAGGGAGTTGGGATGGGTAGGTATGTGAGTTGGGTTGGAGGGGAGGTGGTGTAGGAGGAGGGTTGGGTGGGAGGGAGGGAGGGAGGGTGGGTGGGGTGTTTGGGAGGGAGTGTTGGGTATAAGGAAAGGTGTGAGAGAGGGTGAGTGTATGGATGGGAGTGAGGGTGTGTGTGGGAGGTCCTCCCATACACACACACCCTCACTCTCTCACACACCCAACCTCCCACCTTTAATGTGTGTGGATGGGACTAAGGTTTTCTCATTTCTTTCAGATTGTGCGCCTCCGAGGTGAACGTCTGACTGGTCAAGAACGCCTCCAAACAGGTAAAGTACTTATGACAATATATAATGTCTATATGCAAGTATTTATGAATGTTATGTTTTAAAGTTTTTTGTATTCCAGGTTTGTTTGTGTGGCTGACTGGACCTACTACAAGGTGCTTCTTGGAGGTAATAAAGGTAAAGTTTTTCAAGTTATAGTTGATAGCACTAACAGCACCGTAGTTAGACGTAGAATGCACAGTAGTAACTCCGCCTTGTTCAGTCGAACATGCCGGTCCCAAGCCCAGATAAAGGAAGAGGGCTACTGCAGTGTTGTATCTACCATCGCCACCTAACAAACTTACATTATAAATTGTTCTGAAAAAGGTAATATGTTCTGTCAGCAACATAGAAAAAAATTACATATGTACTGAACATTGTGTACTATGTTTTTATATCTTTGTAGATAGGTAATACAAAATAAAGAATTGAATATACAGTATATTTTTTATTTTCATATGTATACACTACACATTTATTGCAATATACAATAACAGTCCAGAAGCTGATACAGAAATACAAAATATCCTTGGTCATATAGCCTGGTTTTATACCTGCACTGTCTAGGTACAGTATATATCAATTTACTGGCTATTCCTGCAGTCTTATGTTCTTAAACCTACATTACCAAATATTAGCACAGAAGAAAATCAGAGAAAACTTGTAATGATTGGCAACATCACTAGATATCTTTCTCCCGTGTCCCAAGAAATCACATTACAGTACCACTACCATTATTATTTCTCGGCAGATACATCAGTGATGGTGAGTCCGTCACATTACCAGCGGTTGTGGATTTCTCAATTCAACCTTTATATTGCAGACTCCACATAAGGCGAGTTTATTTCACTAGACCTTAAGGTTTTATAAAGTATCTTGTCAGGTTTTGGTCCTACACAAAATTTAGCTTTAGATAATAATGGAAGTCTTGTACTTTGTGAATAATTTTGGCCAGGCACAGTACAGATATATTTCTAAATTTATCCAAGTTACCAAGTCTTTAGGGAGCGGGGTGGTGGGGGGAGAGGAGAGGGGGGTTCATAAGTTGTTTATTACAATTTTACAAGATTTTTTCTTCTATATTTTCAGGTAAAACACTTCCATTCAGCAATTGGTGTGCAGTGTCCAGATTGTCAACATTTAGTAAGTAAAATTCTTACTGTACTTTACTTTCATTTACTGTATATACACAATACTTTCAAATTAATAGCATGTATGCAATAAAAAATGTTCTTTACTGTCATGGCCGATAAATTTCAAAATGAACACGAGACGCCCGTTCTCTCGGTAAGGTTGTCAAAATTTGGTCCGAGGCGTCGGTAACTTAGATGCATTATTTGTGCCATCTGTGGGTATCTAGTAGTTTTGATTACATGTACCCAATAGGGCAACACATGGGCATTAGTTTGTAACAGTTATACGTACAATGAATGGCACTTTGATGTCAATTGGTGATAATTATATGTAATTAATGTATATATCATGTTCTAAGTTACCCAGAAGCCATCATGTGGGTGTATCCAAGTTGATCACTTTAGTTCATGTTTCAGGTATAGTTTACAGTTCTACTGTACCTGTGGTTTATTTAGATCATTATCATTCAACTTCGGAATATGAAACGTAAAGTTCATTCAATATTTATGTATTTATTTATTTATTTTGTTATACACAGACATTGTAGGAGTACAAACCATTACAAACACCTCCCAGTGCAAGTGCCTCTACCACTACAAATGCCTCTACCACTACAAACGCCTCCCCCGGTACAAACGCCTCCCCCGGTACAAACGCCTCCCCCGGTACAAACGCCTCCCCCGGTACAAACGCCTCCCCCGGTACAAACGCCTCCCCCTGGTACAAACGCCTCCCCCGGTACAAACGCCATCCCTCAACAAGCCACCAGAGGCCTTCTCACACTGAACAACAATTACATATTACACTTAATTTTACAAACCACTAAGAGAAATGGATCCATGCGAGATATTCAAACCTCTCACAATCCGTTTGATTGATGTCCGTGTATCTCGTTGTACACCTTGCTGATACTTCACCTGTGGACGAAAAATATACAGTATTATAAAATGGAAATTTTTTGCAACCACAACAAAACTGTGACTACCACTGTAGTTAATAATGCTACTGTACATAATGTATCTTGCTATTTTTAATACTTTGTGTGGCTTTAATCAAGGTTCACTCCTACAGTCTTGAATGCATTAGTACAGTACTTTAAGTATTTCCTCAAGTTTGGCTAAATTATAACAAAAATATTTCCATAATACTTAACTTTCACAGTACACTATTCTTACAGTAGTGTACAGAACACCAATTCTGTTCTTTCTTAGTAAGGTGGTAGTATCAAGGTGTGGGATGCTAGACAGTAGTGGTCACCTTGTTGTGTCTGGTCCATCTATCTTGTACACCAACCACCTGCAACATGATTATATTTGTTTTTAGATACTCTACATCTGAATTAATTAAGCTATTTTATATCACAACCAATACACAATATTGAGGTTAACTTGTACTGTATGTTCTTAAATGCACTATTTTAAGTAATATATCAAGTATTGCTAAATTATATAAAAAAGGTTTCAGTAATACTTAACTTTTACATTGCAGTACACTATTCTTACAGTAGTGTACAGAACACCAATTCTGTTCTTTCTTAGTAAGGTGGTAGTCCTCAAGGTGTGGGATGCTAGACAGTCGTGGTCACCTTGTTGTGTCTGATCCATCTATCTTGTACACCAACCACCTGCAACATGGTTTGGATTTAGATCAATCTTAATTAGCCTTAATGTATTACTACCAATACACCACATTTACTCCAGAATTTCTTGGAATCTAAACTTGCATTCTCATATATATGTGATATATCCATACACTAAAACACCCTCCTATATCACCTTACACAGGAGCATTGTCCTTCTCACTTTTGGCTGCAGCAGTCTTCATCTAGGCATCATCCCCCACATGCCTTCATAGTACATGCTATTTTTTGCATCACATTTTTAACATGCACTCCATTCACCATTGCTGGAGCACACCACCATCCATGCA